AAAGGATGTACCAGTCCTAATACATATGAACCTGTTGTAACATTATTATCTCAATTTACACCATTATTAGATTTGCCAGTAGTTGATCCTACTCAGAGTCTTGCGTTTCCAATGAACGTTGTATCGTTGCTTCCGTATATGCTTTTAAATTATGAAGATGCTAATGAATTGTGTATTAGAAGTGCAGAAAACATTGCACAAGTAATTATTATTATATAATTATTATATAATAATAATATTATTATATAATTTTTTTTATAAATAAAAAGTTCCTACATGTATAATATATTTTTCATTTATAGATGAGTGCAGAAAAAGGAAAAAAATTAGAAAATTTGGGTACTGTTATGACATTATATAGTCGACGTACCTTCAGCAAAGAAAGTTTTCAATGGACTAAATGCGTCGTCAAATACTTATATGATACATATGCTCATCTTAGTTTCAATATGCTTGCTTTTTTGGTAGAAGTATTGGAAAAAGGACCAGGAAGTGTTGCTTTACCTGTACTTAGTATTATACATTGTATGTTACATTATGTTGATTTAGCTTCACAAGCAGCACAACCAATCAATACTGAACTTCTTAGAGTGATTTCAAAATATGTTGAGGTATGGATAAAAATTCTTTTTGATTGTTAAAAAAATAAATCATAATATTTTTATTTAGTTTTTTTACAAGCAATTATAGAATAATAAATGTAATATTAGGGTCCTCATTGGAAAGAAGCCCTTAAAATATTAAAATTGGTAGTCACAAGATCCTCAACTTTGGTAGCACCACCTATATCAGTACATGGATCATCTTGGGAATCTTCAATAGCATCTCCACATCCAAGCTTTACTGATACTGAGATATTTACTAAAAAAGAATTACCCGGTAAAACACTATTCGTTAAAACATTTTTTGCATGGATATAAACATTAAAAGTTTAAATAAATTAAGTTATGTTTTTCCTCTTGCAATGCCAAACACTCACTGCATGGATTGCTTATCTGATGATACTCAGGTTGCGATAAAAATAATAATAAAAATAAATTGTAAATTATTCATGAAATATAGTTATTATTTTTTTAATCAAAATTAAATCATAAAATTATCATATTACGATTATGTAGTTCGTTTCAAAAAAATCTTATTTATAAATTTTTTTTATTTTATCATTTTATATTTCAAACGCATTATTTTTTTCAACTTTTAAAATTTTTCGAAAAGGTAAAAAATATTTTAGGAATATTATTTAATAACTAATTAATTATTCCTAATTTTTTCTTATATTCCTTTCTTATATTCCCCTATAAAGATAAATTGGTTTATTTATATATAGGAAGAACTATGGATTTCACCTTTGATTTATCACAAACACCAGTAATTGGTAGACGATGGTTAATACGTCAGGGTGTTGAGGAAAAATCGCTTAGTTCTCCTCGATGTTCATTATCCCTTTCACCAGCTGATAGTAATGCTGTTTCTGGTTGGAAAAGACCATGGATGTCACAGGTTAGATTAACAATAGAATATAAATTAAAATTTATAAATATTATAAATATAAAAATCTAAAAAATTTCAGGGTCGTGTTAGAGAATGTTTGGTAAATCTTCTAACAACATGTGGTCAACGTGTTGGATTACCAAAGAGTCCATCTGTAAGTTTATATTTAAACTGAAAATTTTTTTCGAAAAAATGTGTTATAAATATATATGTATATATATATTTAATTCCAATAGTCTAAAGAAAAAAAACGGTATCTTTTCACTGACTCTGGTTCTATACTCCTTTTTAGGATGAACACATTAGTTCAATGACATTATATAGCAAGGTAACAGGTTTCTTTAAACGCAATCTGCACTCATTATCACAAGAGTAAAAAACATCTATTTATACTCATACTCATGTGATGTCCTATCAATATAATTATATTCACGCTTTTATATGCTTCGTGCAAATAATTTAACTTGCACAAAATTTTGAAAATGAAAAAAAATTATTTCAATCTTTGTAGGATTATAAATGTATAGTATATCTTTATGTAGCATGTTAATTGTATGAAAAATATCGTATATAAAAATACAAATCTGCGCGTGCATTATTGTAATTTTTACATTATTGCTATATAGTCGAAGCGACATATATTTATATAAAAAGTTCAATATTAAACACGAAAATGCACAATAATTGCTAAAGTACACAGCATTAGTAAAGATAAAAATTAAGATATGTCAGATAAAGATTCTGTTACTTAATTTAATTTTTTATATTTATTCTTTAATTAAAAATAAACTTTTTTAATACAGGTGATATTCAGTCAAAGTTCAGATTTAATGGAAAGGCAATCATCTATGGCTTCCTCAACAGAAGAAGTTTCTGGTGCAAATAATGATTTAAGTGGAGGCTCCAGAAGAGATGATGAACAATTTGGTGTATTTAAAGACTTTGACTTTCTTGAATATGAAAGTGAAAGTGTTGAAGTAAGTATTGTAATTTAACATATTTTACTTATATATTTATATAATTCAATATAATTTTAAAATAAATTTAAAATAAATTAAATAAATTTAATTTTTATATCATAGGGTGAAAGTACGGATAATTTTAACTGGGGAGTAAGGCGTCGTCCTCTTAGCGAAGGAGAAGAGAGAGAATCAAGTATAAGGCAATTTGAAGAAAGTTTAAGTGAAAAGACTCAATCATCTAGTAAACACACTAGTCGGGTATTTAAAAATTGATTTTAAATAGTATGTTGAAACAAGTTGAAATAAAATGAAAAACAATTGAATACATATTAAAATTACAGCGCGGTGTTACGGAAGAATCATCAGATGATGAAGCTGGATCAGAATCACCTCTAGATGAAGTACCTGGTGGTTCTGGAACAGGACAGGAAACAAATAATATTCCTGGAATGTTTCCACCATCTTCTTTATCTCTAATACCTAGTCGTACACGTCACGATTCTTCGACAAGGTCTGACACATCGTAAGTTTCTTATTAAAATAAATAAAAGTTTTATTTTATTGATATTTATTTGTTATTTTTATCCAGTGGTTCTAGTGCAGGAGATTTAGGAGATGTAACACCTTGTAATGCATCACCAAATCTGTCAGCGTTAATGCCTTTTAGACAAGTTGTAAGAGATGATGCAGAAGAAATTTGGCGTCAACAGATTCAAAATCTTATCACACAATCGCTATACAATACCTTAGACTTTTTCCAATTATTGAGTAGAATTTTAAGGGTAAATATTATACATTACTTGTTATATATTAATATGAAATTTTTAATATCGTATATTATTATACTCAGGATGTAAGCAGTAAATCAGTTACTCTCACACGAGAAGCTAGTGCCTTATTGTGTAATGGCAGTTCTGCCTCCACTCAATTAGGCTATCATTTATCTAGTCATGCGGAACTTCTTAGCTCAAAAGCTGAACCACCTTTAATTTGGTTCTCGATTGCTATTTTTGCAAATCAAAGATTAAACGAATCCTTACGATTTGGAATGTTAGAAATTCAAGAACATCTTGAAACATTTCTTGATAAAAAAGATCATGCTACCGAAGTAAATAATTCTTTATTAAATATACATATATAATTATTAATTTTTTTTTTAATTTATAATTTATAATTTATTATTTTTTATAGTGTTTAGAAGCAGCCAAAGCAACAGCAAAACTTCAAGCCTTAGGTGGTAGTCATACAACAGAAACAGGTCTTGAAGAAATGCTCTTAGACTTAGGTAGAGCACTTTATAAACTTCATCTTCAACTGCTATTATTGATTGAAGCTTCAAACAAGATGTTAAGCACTCTTATGAACGCTGCAAGAAATGTACAAATTCCACTTCAAGATATATCTGCAGAAATTGCAAATATGAAAGTTGCTTTGAGCAGAGCACTCGAAGAAAGTACAGAAAGTGAAAGAGGAACACCAACTCCAACACCTAGTCCTAGTCCTTTACCCGGTACTGGTGCTGTTGAAGAAGTTGCTCGTGTAGCAGAATTACTTAGAAATGCACGATGGTCTCCTGCTCTTGAAGCTGTAAGATTACATAGAGCACAATGGCCAGGAGATCCTTTTCATGATGATGATGATGTAACAACTGCTGTTAATATGTATTGCAAATACTTAGGACAAGATAGATCTGGTAATATACTAAAAAATATTAATATCAAACTTTTTTGAAATAGATAAATAATTCAAAAATTAATTATTGTTTTTTTCTTTAGATATTTTTGTAGTTACACGAAAGGACGATGAAATGTCGGAAATATTTAGTAGATTGATGGAAAGTTTATTCCAAGTTTTAGCAGCTGTTACAGGCTTGGAAGCATCAACAAAAGCAGCACGATCTCAACATGAACATCCTAATAATACGAAAAATGACTGTTAACTTAACATAAATTTTAATATTATATCATATTATAGACAGTTATTTGTTTAAATTCAAGTCTTCATATAATTTAATTGTATCATGCGTTTTATTCATGTATCTTGTATACAACTATGTATACAACTATAGACATATATATATACATATACATATATATATATGTATATATATCGCGATGTAATTGTCATAGGAATTAGAAAAATATGCACGAGCGGAAGCACGAAATCGTCGATTTTGTCGTTTCTTTTTTTAACACGAACGCAATGACGTATGTAAGTTCGGTGAAATAAATTTTTGAAAACTCGAATTTTTGACAAATATTTTTTTCTACGATTTTAAAATCCTGAAAATATGCTTGTATGTAAAGAATCATCACATTTCAATATTCGAGTTAAATATGTTGATCATGAATATCAAAGTTATCGTACTACAACGGATTTTATTAAAAGATTCATTAATCAAGCAATTTTGAATACATTCTCAATAATCGATAATTTGGTTTGTAAAAAACTATTTTCATTTAATTTTATAATATAATATAAATTTTTCGAAACAGGGTGATCTCACTTTTGACGATAATGTAAGTTTTCGAAAATTAGGCTATTTTGGTAATGAATGGGCTACATGTGGTAGTTTCAACTCACGAAATGGATTAGAATCCATAACAAGTGAAATGAAATCGTGGAATGCCTTATCAGTCAGAATTTATTTATTATTAAACATTTTTAGTCATAATAAATCTTTAGTTGAATATTTTTACATAATATTCTTATAGGCTTTAAAGGATTGGATGTTTCATATAAATTTTATTGGTCTTCAGTATAAACAAAGAGTTGAAATTTTCACATATCAAGTTATTTGGAGTGTACCTACTCCTGAATTTCCCGAACCAATGGTCACAGTCAGTGTATATTTTTATGTAGCAATAAGTTACATTTATCCACCTCATTATCCTGCCGATGTGAGTTAGTTTTATTATCTATAGAATAATAAAATAAATTTATATAACATATTTATTTTTTTTTTTAGATTACATATGTTTTTGAAGGACATCAATTTAAGCATTCATTAAATATGATTTTTAGACCTAAATGGCTTTATGATATTTTAGATATGAAAACAATAATATTCAAGACTATTGATTTTTAATAGCTTTTAATTTAACTAGTAATTTTTTAATACAAATTATTTTTTTATTACATGACATATGTATAACATTATATGATTTAATGCTATAACATATTTTATATTAAATCTTAATTGATTTCAGTGAGTAAAATACGTTGTGCAATTATAGTTTAATTATGTTTAAAGCGTTTAGCAAGAGTAAATAATAACGAATTTAAGAGGCATATGCAAAGTGTCGTAAAAGTAAGCGTATCATATTCGTCTAAAAGGAGCACATGCCTTGTGTATTCTGGTTGAATGGCAGACGCATATAAGTTTACTCCAATTGGTTAAGCAGTAAGAGCAGGTGACAACCAACAAAGGAAAATACAACTATGGCAACTATTGTTTTCAGCGTGACTTAAACGCTTACAATTACCGACCGACATAAATTATATAAAATATAATATTTTTAAAATATGAACTCATTTCTCATTCATTAATCATATTTATTTACAATTCTTAGTTAGATTTTTTTTATAGATTAATTTTTTTATATAATATATTTAGTAAAAAAAGTAATTTCGAAGTCTCCCGCGGAGTACATGCCGCGCACTTGTCGCTTCGAAAGAATCTATTTAAATTTTCATCGAGCACACCGAGGAGGTGTAATCCGTGCGTTGGTCTTTCGAACGATTTCTCTGTGTTTTTTACACACTATTCGGTTTTGGTGATACTACGACAAATAGAAGACAATTTCAAAACCTGAGAGGGATTTTACCGAGTGCTCATGCACATGGTGGTCGAATGACACTGGGAGGTCTGAGTTTCTCGGCAGGAGCCTGGAATATCGACAACCACGTGTCGAGCATATCTATCTCGATTCACGTGTCATGTAATTTTTTAATTTTACTAATTGGATAATAATATTTATCTTATATATCTTATAAAAATATATTTATACTTGATACCATACTTTTATAGTATATTTCATCAATGTCTAAAAATTATTTATATATGATACATATTTATATTAAATATTAATTAATACTTATATTTAATATTATACATTAATAAGAAAAATATGAATTATTTGTAATTAGTTTCAATACGTTAAAAGTTATATTTTTCTTATTGTAATCATTACATTATTCATCATTATCTTTTGATTTAGCAGGTTGCAGGTCAAAAAAGATTGATTTCCAAAATACAAGTGGAAACGAGCCAATCAAGTGCAGTGTTAATAATCGTCTTACCAATACATTTACATTTTCATTATCTTTGTTGTTAATATTACAAAAAATTAAAATCTAATTTAATAAAATAAGAAATAATAAATATTTCTAATCAAACATTTAATTAAAAAAAAATGAACATAAAAATACATATGTTTTGATAAACAATCAATATATGGGTCAGAAATCAAATGGCAATACTGGGACCAACCACTATTTATACGGAAAGACTTTTTTGTCCGGGCTATGTCCTAAACATCACATCCGCCGAGGTGCTTCCTCCGCGGACCATGTTTTACCGCGATCGTGGCTAACTGATGAAGGAAACGTAACAGGAAAGACAGAGAAAGAACACGAAAGGAACCACCGCCTCACTTTCAGCAGCTTCAAACATCCGCTGCACCAGCCGCCGCCAGATCTCGTTTACCTCTCCTCCATTTCCCCTTTAACTCCTTCTCAAAGAGACACACATTCTTTCCTTTTCTTTCTCCGTTTCTCTGATCTTTTCTTTCTGCCTTTTGATTCAAGAAATGTTTTTAAATTGAAGGTATCGATTAAAAAAATATCTTTGAGAAATTAAATGCGATAAAAAAATCCATAATAATAATTTTATAAAAAAATCTAATTTAAAAATTTCAACAATGTTCTAAGAAATTGAATATTTCGTATATAATTTCAAATTGAAAAATAAAAGTAATTTTAAATTCATTCATATCAAGCAATATGTCTAATATATTGAGTGAGTTCAGACACAGCACACATCTGGAGTGAACGGAGTGGACAAATCGACCTCCTTCGAAGAGAGGAGAAACAAGAAGGGGGATGTCCGTCGCGCGTGAACGGTGAGACACGTACCCACGTGCAAGGCTACGTCTTGAATCACCAGCTGCCGATTCGCCGACGACTCCAGGAACCCTGAAGACGTACTAAAATTAGCGACCAGCACCCCCGCCTAGCCCTTACATGGCCACGTCACGGGCACACGCGCCGCACTTTCAGAAGAAAAAAAAAAAGATGAAGGAAACAATAATAATCACGGTCCAAACGGCACGAGCCGATCGTGCGCGAAATATCACAGCTGGTGCACTCAAATGACCAATCATTCGTACGGGTAAGATTGACGATAAACGTGTCACCCGTAAGTCACAGTTAATCGATATAAAACTGTGACACAGGTAGTTTGATTTTCATTTGGTTACAAATTATAATGACAGGTAACATTACTTTTCGTTATTGGAATCTGCTTTCATTGGCTCCAGACCAATAAATTCATACGCTTTATATATATATTATTTAGAAAAGAGGAAATAAACTTGTTGCTTTCGTTGCTTTATAATATTTCATAAGAAAGGTCTTTGCAATAATATCCAATTTTTTTTATCATGGAAACAGGAAGTAGTTTTTGGATTAATGAACCACATGGCTTCTCTGTGCATGAATGAATAGTATACCCATAATGAACTTATGCTACTTGTGATAAGAGAACCACCCAAGTTGATGTTCTTGATGAAAATGTATGTATTACAAGTATTGTATCCATGTTAGCTTCATTTTCCTAAATATTTGCAGTTTTTGATCTCTCATATTTAACAACAGAAAATCGATAAACATTTTGACATTCTTCTGCATTAATGGAGGAATGTAGAAACGAAAGTTTCCAGATATCCGAAAGCGATCAAGTAGATTTTTAGTTTAGAGTAACGAATTATCTTGCATTCCTTTCCTTCGATCGATCTTCCGTCGAATAAGAATCCATGGAATCTGTTTCTATCGCGTACACTTCAAGTTCATTGTCCTCGATATCAGTTAGGGTATAGAATCTCGAAACGATCCTTTTGGTTTTGTCGTGGTACTGGAGCTCCGTTCCAAGTACATCTGCGCCAAGCGGATGCAGCCTGCATTTTATGGCCGCCCAATGCAACCGATTCTCATTCGTGCACCCGTACTCACACCCTCCACCACTTTCAGCACGCGGTACAACGACTTCTATAATTAGATTTCCTTCCCTTTAGCTTAGACACCTTCGAATATAATCTCCATTTGCCCCGCGAATCATAGTTTATCACCTGGTTAGAAACGCCGTCGAAAGTTTTGCAATTAATATGATCAATTCCTTCTTTTGATAGCAAAGAATCTTCAAAAATCTATCAAATTATTGATAGTAACTAATCTAAAATACCTAATGGATTTAAAAAAAATCTAAAATATATTTGCTAAAGATAATAGTCATTTAATTCGTATATCATCTTTTGTATTTGAATATGTCGGTATTCTAATACCGATCTAGTACCGTTCAATGTACTGATATTAACGGTACACACGCAGCAGTCGTTACAGGTTTCACGCCAGCTATTTCGAACAGGTTGCGCTTGGATCTATTTTTCGATCATTGGCATCGACTGGATCCACGGATCCACACTTCTGATGACAGGTAGTTAGAAAAATAATCGAAACGACGACGATTAAATTGAATCGCGATCTATAAATGCTGTGTCACGTGCCAAGATGTGGCATCTTCGTAATTATAAATGGTTAATCATTGGTGATCGGCCAGAAGTTTGCAAAATAATCAAAGTTTCAATTTTATGAATTCAAACTGATTTAAAATATTATTAAGTATATATAATTCATCTTTTTTTATTATAATTATTTAACATCATTATTTTCTATTATTTTTTTTTTATTTTGTTATATAAAAATATTTATCATTTTTATCAATTAATTTTTATCTCTTGTTTCTTTACAATATATCATTTTTTCTTTTTATTACAAATTATTGTATGTTTACAAACAAAAGCTATCACTAACATTTTACTAGTATTACGAAGTGTCTTATATAAAGGTGTCATTAAACGTTCTTGGCACAGCTTTCTCATTTTCCTCGTTGGCAAATTCCATTCGATCATTATATGATGACGATAAATGATCGTTTTTACAGAAGTCAATCTCATTCTCATATAAATTTGTGTAACATATTTTTTAATTATGGCAAAAAAGATTTCTCAATGAGAAATTTTGAAATTAATATCTCTAAGTTCAAAGAAGGAATTTAGTTGTGTAACATGTGTAATGGTACTTCTTTCCAAACATTGCCAAGTTCATAATCGTCATCAAAATGGTTCATATAAGCGATTGTTAAAACATCATGAATGAATTTTCCTATATATATATATATATATATATATATATAT